GGGGGTGGGGGGCTCCCTCACACACCCAGGGTCCGGTCAGTCAACAGGGCTGGGGTCCCCCCATCCTGCGCAGGGAGCTTGGGGGGGGGTGTCTCAGCTTCCTGGGGGGGAGATGATGAAGCCCTTTCCCCTTCCCCCATAACTAAGGGGGGGCCGGGGATCCCCCCCAGTTCCATCCTGTCACCATGACAACCCACTGCTGCATCAACCTCATCCCAGGTCCATCAGTGCAGGGAGCTGGTTGCCATGGTGACAGCTGGTGGATGTGAGAGGGGGCTGGGAGCCAGGACGCCTGGGTTCCATCTCCCTGGGGTGCGGGGGGGTCATGGGAAGCTGTTTGCTGCATCTACCACTGCAGGCAGGTGCGTCTCCTTGGAGACAGGCACCATGGATACCAGCTGGGGAAGGGGGGTCACTGATCTCCCCGCTGGGAGTCCAGGGGGTCCTAGAGCCGGAGCCAGGGCAGAGACCAGGAGCCCTCACCTGGCACCGAGATGCAGCTGACTCTGGGGAGGGGCAGCCGAGTAACTGCGGCATAGAACAGCTTCAAATGGGGCTGAAATGCAGCCACTTCTGGGGAGGGGCAAGCGGGTACCAGCCGCACAGAACACCCCGCTACGGGGGTTGGGATTGGGACAGGAAGTGAAGGCGATTTGTGGGTCGGTCTCCCCCCCGCCCCACAGCGTCTGTCTCCATCCCTGGTTCATTCATAAATACAGCCAGCCCCTCCCCCCGCGCTCCGCCCCCCCCCCCAGCCGGGGAGGGCGGATCCAGAGGCGGGGAACCCCCCCCCCCCCAGCTCGGAGCGATGCGGACCCTGCGCTGGCTGGCGGCCCTGTCTGCTCTACTGGGGCTGGGGCTGGCCCCGGGGGCCGGGGGGGAGGCAGGTAAGGGGGGTACAGGGCGGGGAGGGGCATCGGAGGTGTGTGAAGGAGAGTAGGAGGGGCTGGGGGCCAGGACTCCTGGGTTCTACTGCCAGTTTCCCGAGGCTGCAGGTCGGGTGTGAGAGGCACCGGCAGGGCTGGGCTGGCAGGGGCTGCAGGTCGGGAGTGAGGGGCACCGGCAGAGCTGGGGGGGGGCAGTGCTGGGGGGGGGCTGCCCATGGGGAGAACAGGAGCAAATTTCCATCTCTCTTACTATTTAACCAAAGATTTTCTCCTCTGATTTTTTTTGCTCTGGCT